ACACACACACACACACACACACACACACACACACACACACTTACTTCTCCCCACTGGTTGAGAACCCCTGCTCTACTCCAAAATCTAAATCCTTAGCCATTAAGTTTACTGCAGGAATTACTAACTTACTACTTCACAAATCACTCCTCAAAAGCAATTACTTACCACTCTCCTGGAACATGTTTCATACGGGGCCTTCAGGGTGAGCGTTTCTGAGTCCAGGGCAGAAGTACAGTTCAGCGCTTCAACACCAAAGGGATCTACAGAAGCCAGAGCAGGATAGAGAACGGGTGCTGAGAGCACATTTCAGTGAGGCATACCAGCAGAGGCACACCCAGGACCACCCGTCCACCTCTAAGGTACTTCTGCCACTTCACTTTTGACCAAACAGGTGCTGCAGCTCAAGTTTGGAGCGGCTCTGACTTGCGGCCAAGAATTTCCTAGGAGATTCCAGTAGAAGACCCTTCCTAGGAAACCGTTTCCCTACTCTCAGGGGCAGGTCAGAGACCTCCATGGCCTCAGGGGAGTTGGACAGAAGTGGCTCCAAAATTTGAGTTCTCTGCACAGCAAACAAACAGGACTGGCCCCGAACCCAGGCCTTCGTGCTAACTGGGACCAGATGAGGCAGTGCGTGCTACTTACCCACCACAGATGCACGCCAGTTCTTGGTGTCAAGACTTCTTGAAAACTCAGCTGTTAGTTCATTTTCATTGCAAGTAACGGTCCCTGGAGGGCAGAGGAAACACTTGGGATCTTTCTGAGCTACAAGAGGCATAATTCCTAAAGAAGGGTAGAGAGGGCCTCCTCTTCCCTAGTAGCTATCCAGGGAGGACACAGCCGAGAGAGGCCAGGACTGTCCCCCTCCTTCAGGAATATATAAATTGGTAAGAAAGACAAACTACAATACGATATACCGAGAACGGTAAGGAAGGTATCAATTAAACACGCAGGGCTTTCTGAAGCTCCAAGGATAAGTCTGACCCAGGGTTAGAAGCAAACCTCTAGAACCCAAGTCAGAGCCTGGGCAGTGGTGGGGACTGGGTGGCAATGAGAGGACTGTGAGGAGGTGAAGACAAAGAGCTTTGTCTCCAGGTTCTTCAAACTGAAGTTTAAAAAACACCCTCGGTAAACCCCAGGGCATTTTTTTCTTTACAACAAATTCTGCTGAAGATCTGTCTTTTTGCAACCTTTGGCTCAGATGAAAGTCTTAAAAAACAACCCTGTAGTTTCAGGTGGAACGGCTCTGGTTTCGCTTGTTACAGTCACGCTTTCTCGAAGAAAGACTTTGAAGCTGAAGACTACCTGGCCCTAGAGGTGGGGCTTAATGTGATGCCGGCTGCTCCGCGCAGGCGCCACAACTCCAGGCAGCAGAAGGAGGGGGACCCCAAAGCAGTGCAGGACCTCCTCCTTTAGCTGACACAGCGAACTCAACGCCAGGCAGAGGAAAGACCTAGTGACTCGGCCAAAGCAGGGGAAAGGGCACACTGTCTGTGCGTCTTGGCCAGCGGGGCTCTCTGCCCGCCAGCTGCTCTCTCTGCCGGTGGGATTTCCCTCAGTCAAGAGCCATACCTGGGCCGGGGATATAGCTCAGTGGCACAAGCGCCTGCTTGGCAAGCGTGAGGTCGTGAGTTCGATTCCCCGTACCAAAGGGGAAAAAAAAAAAAAAGCCATACCTGGGAAGGGAGGGTTCGCCAGCTCAGGACCATCAACGGAGTTCACTGAAGTCACGAGTGTGAAGAAGAGATAACACGACCTGCAGATGCAGAAGACAGGAGAGGGAGTCAAAAAAGAGTCTAACCAAAGAAGGCCCCCTTCCCGGCTCCAGAACTCCTCACCTCCAGGCTGCCTTAGAGCAGCTCCGGCGACTCACGGAACCTCCTCTCCGCCTGCACACCATGGCGAAAGTCACCAGGCCGAGGGTGGGCTGCTCTGCGCTCTTATAGCAGGAAGCAGGAGGAGACCCGCCCCCTTGCCATTGAGGGCACCTGAGCCTTCACCACGCTCCCAGCACAGCTGAGAGGGAGGGTGTGGAAGGAAGTGGCATCTGCCCCTCCTGACACTTGCCTTGAATATTCTGCAGGTCAGGCCCAAAAGCAGAGCTTTCTGAAACTGACTCCAGGTGAGTGAATTTGTGTTTCCCCATGACAATGGGGAAACTTATCATCTTTTGGACAAAATATTAACAACTCCAGTGTAGAGGGAAAAGAGGTGACAGGCTTTACTGAGGAAGGGGTGTTATTTGTTCACCCCCTAAACCTTTCTTGAAGTAACCTCTCATCGTCTGGCCATTGTAGAAGTCACTCTGGCAATGTGCACTTTTAAAATTTTTTAATGAAACATTATTTACTTCCAAGTATAAAAGTTTAAATTTACTGCAAAAAATGCAGACAATTAGAAAGAAGGATACAGAGAAAGGTAACAGTCATCCATAATTTTGTTACTACTAATGTTTAGGTAAGTAGTTTCACAGACATAGACACTAGAAGGTCAGGGACCACAATAGTGGGACAGAAGAATGAGACTACAAAACAAATATCTGGGTGCTGTAAACTATTTTTTTTTTCGATAGGGTCTCATTTTGTAGCCCAGGCTGGCCTCAAACTCACAGCAATCCTCCTGCCTCAGCCTCCTGAGTGCTAGGATTACAGGCATGTGCCACTATGCCTGGCTGGGTGCTGTAAACTACTACCCTTTGTAGCATGGCATGTTTCAACAGATATTTTGTGAAATCCTCATAAAACTACAGAAGCAAAATGTTTGCATGAAATGATAAGTTGTTAGCAAGGGGGGAAAAGAACCTAAACAAGCCCTCTAGCCTCACTTTCTCTGAGTTAACTTAAAATCACTAATTTTGGAGGCCTCAGCTGGACATTATTAGTTTCTCACTAGCTTTGCTAAGATAACACTTCTGATGTGGGGGTTATGATAACAGTTGGATTACTTCCCAGGGACCAGAGGTCATTTTTCCTTAGAACACTGACTCTTTACGTGAGCCTACAGATGTCTGATGGTGTCTAAAATGGACAAAGTGCTCCGCATCTCTCTCTTCATGTTGTGTCTGTCTCCTCTGCTGTCTCATCCCTTAAGTCAGATTCTAATCGGCTCTGCACATGGACACATTTGTCAGTTAAGAAATGTTTTTGTCCACAAGTATGACCCAGGCTTAGCCTGGCCTCCTGCCGCTGGAGCTGGGACGTGCTTCCTCTCCCCCATCCTGGGCTTTTCAGCTGCTCAAGCACTGAAGTCCTTCAGCCCCGTTGCTGGGCATGTGCATACAGGATGATGACACCAGGTATGGGTAGCTCAGCAGCCCCTAGACAAAGGTGACTGTCTGTTACCCCACCAAGTGCAATGCCAGAGCGTTTTGCACAGGATGGTGACATCAGATACACAAAGATCCACCTGCTTCTAGGACAAGGTTACCATGACCAGCTGTGGTCCAAGTCCATCACAGAAAGAGATCTTTTGAAATCATACCCTGACCAATGAAAATTACCAGACTTTAGCCCGCCTCAGCAAATCAATAAAAGCTTGCTGCTTTCCTGGTTCTGGTCATTCTCTCTTTGCTGGTTGACCATTTCCTGCTGCCAAAGCCCCAACTTCAGGTGAACTCAGATCTTCTGAAACCTGATCCACATGTCTTTTTTTTAAAGCATCTCTCACTGTTCTTTGAGACATATATATGCCTGCAGTTTATATTCCACAACAGATAAATTACACCCTGTCTTGGTTACTTTTCTCTTGTTGCTGGGACAAAATACCCAACACCCAAAATGAAGGAAAGAAAGGTTTATTTAGCTCAGTTTGTGGAGATTTCAGTTCTTAATCAGCTGGCTCCAAGGCAGGGTGGCATATGGCACCGGGCAACACCTGTGGCAGCAGACCACAAAAGGAACAAAAGCGAGAGAGGGGAGAGCAAACCTCTTTTCCTCCCTTATATTGTAAGCAGGCTACCAGCTCCCTGCAGGGCGGCTGCAGCACTCACAGCATCTCCCTGCCCTCCTCTGGCACAGGATGAGGATGTTTACAAAGTGAGGACCCTGGCTCCCTACTGAGTCATTTTGTTAAACTTCTTAACTTCTCAAATTGACACAATGTATCAACCATTACACCCCCCCCCCAACTCTATGCAGATAGCAGCGCAGCATCCGCAATTACGGTTTATGATTCATCATGGTATAATGAGGAATAACCTCTATCCTGTTACAGCAATTAGAAATACTGTTGTAAGGGGCTGGGGATTTAGCTCAGTGGCAAAAGCGCCTGCCTGGCAAGCGCAAGGCCGTGAGTTCGGTTCCCGGTACTGGAGAAAAACAAAACAAAACAAAAAAACAGAAATACTGTTGTAGGTTAGAATACTGTTTCCTCAGCTTCCTGATCAAAAGGATCATTTGACACTTTCCCTAATATTACAGATTCCTGAGTTGAACCCAAAAGCTGCTGCTTTGATTCTCCTAAGGATGGACCTGGGAATGTAGGCTTAACAAGCCCTGCATGTGATTTTAATAATCAGAAAAAAATCTGAAAAATACTTGGAGAGAGGCAGGCAAGGCTATGGGTGGCTGGCAGTGGCCAGCTTCGTTATGGGAGTGAACTGATTAGATTACGTCACAGTGGAGCTGGGCAGAGGAAGCAAATTACAAATCAGCAGGCTTGGATGAGAGTCAGGATGATGCAAAGATTTCGTTTTAGAGCAGAAGCGCGATGACGACACGTAATCCCACCACACGTGTAAAGGGGACTTATTACTGCAATGGCTGAGACTGTAATGAGGGTGCATTAGAGGGTGCAGTGTGAATGTGAGGCTCAGAGACCTGCTGGGGAGGTGGTCAGAGAGCTGACGGGGCTAACGTGCTTTGGGGCTTCCCCTAAGCCTCACTACCCCTAAAGACGCCGCCTTTTCCTCCAGAATGGAAGGTTTTGCCTTGGAAAGGGCAGCGTTGATCAGATCCTCACATTGGGAACTCCTGGAGGCGGACGGGCAGCGCAGCAGGCGAGAGAGAAGCAAGTCCACAGTGGCGCTGGTGTAGATGTGAAGTTCACCTGGAGATGAACTTCATCTGCCTCCCTGACCGGGACCAGCGTGCACACGCGTCGGCCGCCACCAACCGGCCCCAAGCAAACAGGACTCAGTTTCTAGGACCCTACTCCAGAAAAACGCTTCAGCCATGCTCAGGAATGCGACTATGTTCAGTGCAGCCAGCTTTGAAAATAAAGTAGAAACGATATTCCATGATAAGATGGTGTCTAATGATCGGTAGGCAGAAAAAACCAAAGTCTCTAAAATTGATGGATTAATATTTCACTAAATAAGCAGCAGAATCTCTTTCAAATGTATGTTTTCCACACTCTTTTTCAATGAGCCTTTTAAAGGTAGCTCGTTTATGACCGCAAGGTGGTCCTTCTCCTTTGCTCCGAATGCCCTGGTCTCTGCCTGAGGATAATGAGGTCACTTCCCTCCGGTGATCACGAAGCATTTCCTGGAGGAGTTTTCTGTTGCTGTTATGCACACAGGAAAGTTTCTGGGTTTGTTGCGGCGTTTGGGCAGATGCCCTCCTTTCTGCAGTGCAGTTCTTTTAATCAACAGTTCATAACTCTTAAGTGCTCATTATGTTCTGTCTTATTTTCCTCAATTATAAAAATATTAATTGAAGATAACCTAAGGAGATAACTAGATAAACTGTGCAACATACTTCAACCACTAAAAGTGATTCTAAGGGTTCATGAGCTATGAAGGCTGATATGAAAGGTGTCCACCATATCACCAGGGTTGCAGAGAAGTATAATTATTATATTTTGCTCTTAAAAATTTAAAAAAGTATTTGTATGTCTCTACGTTTATGTGGGTATATAAATATATTTGCATTTAAAGTCTAAACACTTAATATATCACCCAGGGGTGGAGACAGAGCAAATGACTGGGCAGCCCAGGAGGTCTGATTTGATTTTACAAATATTGTCGGCCCGGATTTGTTTGTGTTCTTGATCTCCCGGTTTAAGATATATTTAGTATTATTCCTGATAGTAGGAATAGGCAGATAGGGAAAAAGATGACTCCTGGATTTTATTTTGTGTTTGTTCTTTCACTTTACTTACTTCTGATTTGATGGTTTTAGTGATAACAAATTAGCATAATTTTAGAGTAGTAACAGAACTTTATGGTTTATATCTAGATCTCTTCCCAAAGCCTCATGCAGTCACAGGTGGGGAGTTTTGAAAGCAGCTGGATAAGGGTGTGTGAGTGTAGATTAAGGATGTGATACCGGGATTAAGGGTATGGGTAATGGAAGCCCCACCCTGGGTATGGGTGGTGTTATGGTTGATACACTGTGTCAACTTGGGGAGTCTAGAGGTTTGGCTAAGCAGCTCAGCCTTTCTGCATCCTGGGGTGGAAAGGACAAGCCCTTACCCTTCTGGGATGTTGTTCATTGTGTCAATTTGAGAAGTTTAGAAGGTGAACTGTGTGACTCAGCAGGGGCCAGGTGCTTACTTTGTATTCATCCTGAGCCTGGGCAAGAGGAGGGCATGCAGAGGGTGTGGGTGTAGAGGACCACCCCCTCCCCACCCCCAGGGCTGGTGGGCTGCATAAAAAAAGAAAATTAAAAAAGGACTGGCTGCTGGTTCTCCAGTCTTTGCCTTCAGCTTGGTCATCTCCTGGCTTCTGGTGCAGACTGTTAGGCTTCCGCCTGGGACTCTTCAGCCTTCTGGTGCGGGCTCTCCGGCCTTCATCATAGATTCTTCAGCATTCCGTGGCAGACCCATCGGCCTTCTGATATGGACTTGCACAGACACTGCAGTGAGCCCCAGGCCTGGGGCCGGGCTCCTCAATCTGCAGCATGCACACACCCTCTGCACGCTTCCTCATCCAGCTCTGTGTCTGACCATTGTAAGCCAAAC